GTTAGATGTTGCGCATGATGTTGCGTGCGCCAAGCCGTTGGGACCCACGACAACTTGGACAGGAGGTGCCTCTTCAAAACGATTTTGATTTAGAGCCACGCGCAGATTACATTCGACGATCCATTCATAAAGCAGAAAGGATGATGGAACATCTGCACATCAACGAGCGAATACCGATCCAACGCCAACGGAAATGGAGGTAGGCCCAGAAGGTTTGCAGCGCGGCAGAAAATGGATGGCCATCTCAGGTATCACGATGGGGCCCTCAATGCGATTCAAAGTTGTTGCGCGACGGCGACAGGGCCATCCGAAGAAGCGGTGGTCGGATGATTTTCTGCATTACGCAGGGCCCGACTGCACCTCCGAAGCCCAATCTGTCAAATGGGGTTTACTTGAGGCAGCTTGTTTAGGCATGACGGCTCCTGACTTCCCTTGGTAGTCTGTTTCGTATCGTAGCATGTGCATGTGCTGGTGTTGCTCTGTTATTCCTCCGTCTCACACTTGCCCGGTGCCGCGGCGCCAGGCTGCGACGCCCCCGCTGGCGACAATTGCAGGTCCAATGTCCGATGCCCGATGTTTCGCATTAGTTTGCGTTGCGTTGCATTGCTTCGCGCTGCTTTGCGTAGCTTTGCATCGCTGTGCTTTGCTTTGAATATTCTTGGTTGCTTTGTTTTGTTGCTTTGGCATTGTTTTGCATCGCATTGTTTGGCATTGTTTTTGCATGGTCTTGCATTTCTTTGGCGCTGTGTTGGCATTGCTTCGTGTTGCTTCGCATTATTGTGCATTGCTTTTCGCCACAGCGGTTGCACAACATGTGTTTTGCCACATAGATTGCACCACGTTGATTGCACCACCCAGACTACATCGCATGGGTTGCAAGACATCCGTGTCCTGGGTCCACGCTGGCGAACATTTTCCTCTCTTCCTGCTTACCTTTTTTTGTCCTCCCTCCTTCCTTCTCCCCCCCTTCCTTCCTCCCTCGTATGCGGGGTGGCACCCTGTGGCCCTCGTATGCGGGGCAGCCCTCGAGGTCTGGCTCGATCGCCCCGCGGTTCTGTCCTGGAGGCCCATCTCCCACAACCCTGCTCCTTCTCCTCCTCGCCCTCCCCCTCTTCTGTCCGTAATCATGTTGGCTCAAGTCTTTTGGCTGTCGGCGACAACACACGGATACCGCTGACCAGCGGCAGATTTCAGCATTCACCTGTTTCGGCTCACGCCGCGGTTTCCCGTGGTTCGTCCCACGGTAGGCCATCCTTTTTTGTGAGTTCCTGGAGGAGCAGTCCTTTGTGAGCTCCTGGTGGAGCAAGCGGACGGCACGCGAGAGTTGGTATGGCGTGGAGGCTCACTGGATTCGTATGCATTTTTTCAGCTGAGTTACGTCGACGTTCTTGGGTCGGATCGGATTCCTGGTCAGCGTCAGGTTCGAATGGTCTCTGTCAGTCTGACGGACGGTGGTACACAACCAGTGGAGGTGCATTGGTGTTATTTGAGTCGGGGGAGCGTAAGACCCGGGTTTGCCGGGACTCGGGTTCGCCATCGTTTTTTGACGACCGCGACTCGGATTTTGACGAGGAGGAGTTTCGTGGGATGTCTGCAGCGGGAGGCCTCGTCAAAATGCAGGCTCGGCCTCGTCACTTTTTTGACGACCTCGTCGGGGATTTTCGAGTCCCCCGTACCCGGGTCTTACGTCTCCCCGATTGAGGTTTGCGGATGCCGAAAAAACATTACGGCCCTCGTGTGCTGCAAGCGTTGCAGCTCTTCGCCCACTCGCCCTCACAGCAAGGCCACTGCCAGCAAGCGCAAACCCCATGAGCAAACCAACGCTGATAATAATGGGGGCAATACAGGCGGACGGAAACTCAACCCTGGGAAGGACAAGTGTCATGACGAATGGCCGCCTCTGCCTTCGTCAGGTAGAAGCGTGGCGCTGGAACCAGGGCCTATGCCAACGATCTCGGCCAACAGAGCTAAGGAACTGGCGACCTTGGCGGAGGAGCTGGCGACGCCATAGGGGCCAAACGGGGCAACGGTTTTGCGTCTCGTGTGCCATCGCGACTTGCGGCGTCGGCTGCTCGTCAACGATGGCAAGGGACAGGGCAGCCACAACACGCCCCTGGAAAAGAAACTCACCAACGAACATGCCGAGCCTGGGATATGAAGAGCCAGCCAGCAGGAGCTGGTCGAGTCCATCGCTGAGCTCCCCAAAGGCTTGGAAGCTGTCGAGCGCTCGGGCTGCAGGCCATCCGATCGTCTGTCGTGCACCGGTCGACACCTGGGGCAGGGATCGCCCAGGCATTCGGAGGTGCCGTCGCAGCGCTCACGTGTGCCGAGTGGGGCGCGGCCTCGCGGGAGATGGCGCGCGCCTCGGCCAGCCTCGCCGACCTGCCGCGCGGCTGTTTTTTTTTTTGTTCTGCCCAGTGGTCCGAGCCCTTTGTGGCGTCGGCGGGTCGCCTCCCCCCAGCGGAGACACGCGGCCCCACGGCCGGGCGCTGCTATGGGGGCCTGGCGGACCTGGCCGCGCGGGCCCACCTGCCAGTCATCCGTGGGGGGGGGGGGCGTGAGCGCGCTGCCTGAAGACGCTTTGGGCTCGGGCTGGCCAGACCTTGGCATCGCTCGGACGTGTGCATTTTTCCTTCGGCGAGGACCCTTGAGGAGCATCCTGGATCGTCTGGCGAAAAAACCACGCACGAAACCGAACAATGCACAGGGAATGGACGTCCGAGCGATGGCCAGGTTCAGGCTGGCCAGGCCCACCTGCTGCGCAGAGGGTTGCGCCAGAGAGCCCCTGCGCGCCAGGGCGGGGCCCTGGATTTCTTTCGGGTCGTGACCTCCCGAACGAAGTGAACCCCGCCCTCATCTCAGAAATCGTGGGGGGTAGGGGTAGGGTTCGCATGTGGCCCCCGATTCTTTGCGGCCAGCCAGAGCACAGTGCCGCACGTTGAGCCTCTGGGCGTGGTGCGCAGCGCAGCGCAGGGGCCGCGCTTCGCCGTGCACCATCTCTGCCGGAAGGCTTCAGCAAAGGACGCTCGTGCGTGGTTTTCCGGATCTTTCCGCAGGGCTTGGCCATGAATCAGGAGGGAAAGAAACACACAGACACAATTAGTTGTCGATTTCCAAGAAAATATGGGAAACTATGGGAAGTGGGGGGAGACAACAACCCAGAAAATATAGGAAAATCTGTTTTTTTGTTGTTGTGTGTATTTCTTTGTGTGTCCCAGGGCCCCTTCAGTGCAGCAGAGAAGCAGGGGGGGGAGGGGGCGGGGCCCCGTGCCGTGGGGCCCGCAGGTTGTGAGACTGCAGCCAGCTGCTCCCCCCCCCCAAAGAAAGCTTACACGTGTCGTCTGTTGCGTGCGTTCGCCTCGTAAATCGAGCGAGATGCACTCACGATCTGATTTGTGTAAAGGGCCTACATGTGAAAGATTCCAGATGCACCATTTCCAGGGCGCCACCATCGAGATCTCCCATAATCAAGACCAATGTGTAAATGAGTTACCACAACGAATGCTCAACTTGTAAACCGCCACAGATGCATCTTTCAACTGCACATTGGTTCGATTGTGGGGGTTTTGTAGAGGCAGCGCCGCGGGGCCGCGGAAACCTACCAGGAATACGCGAGCCCATGAAATAGTTTGTGCTCCCACATGGGTGATTAAGAAAAAGCTGGGCAAATCTTGGGGCCTCTGTATTTTTCTTCGCAGTTGAAATATGTCGCGGCAGCCCTAGCACAAGGATCTTTTTGTTTTGGCGACCTTCCCGAACAGGATTTCAATTGCTAAGCATCTGCAGTGGCCGCCACACACGGAATATTTGCAGCCGCTTTTACACGCCGCAGTTCCATGCGCGGCGATCTTACAAGGCCGTGGGCCCGTGGGACCTTGTCAGGAAAACATTGCTTAAGCTAAAAACATAAAACACGCATTTGTTTGTCACAGGGAAGGGATGGACAAACTATGGCACAGTGTGGCTCGATCTTCGTATCGTGCAGATCCCCCACAGCTCACACCCTTGTCTGCGGAGCATCTGCAGCGACCGCCGCACTGGCAATCTGTTTGCAGCAGCCTTTACAAACGAGGTTTCCTTTGGCGGCGATCTGTTGTCCCCCCTCCTTCTCCTCCTCCTCCTCCTCATCCTCCTCCTCCTCCTTCTACCCTCCCTCTCTCTACAACTCCTCCTCCCTCCTTCATCTCCCCTCTTCCCCACCCTTGATTCGTTACCCCTTGTCGCGTGTTGGCATGAGGGCGCGCTCCCTGTCCGAGCGGCGCCTCACAAAACCGCGCGGCCCCGTGACGGTGCCCTCGGGGTCCGACGGAGCGCCCCCGAGAGCTCTTTGTGTGCAGGCGCAGTGCGGGATGAGGCCAGGTGTGCCTGCCACAGCAGACACCCAGGAGCGTCTGGGGCATGGCATGAGCAGGACAGTTTTTTGGTCGGCGGGGCGAGAGCGAACCTCTTCCGCTAAAAGCTAGGCGGGGTACGCACAGCTTTCATTGGGGAGACAGGGCACAGGCAGGCGGGGCCTCAGGCGGCCGGAGTGGGCGGGGCCCGGGGTGCAGGCGGTGCCGAAGAGGACGCATGAGTAGGACAGGAGAGGCATAGAAGCCATACAGTCGGGCCACTTGCCATGCATGTGCGATCAGAAGAAGCTCGAAGGGAACAGGGTTCAGATCTGGAGCTGTCAGCATGCATGGTATCAATTAGCTATTTTTCTTGGTGCGTCTTGCCTGTGGGATGTACGTTGTCACAGGCTCGTTGAGTGGAGCTGGAGATGGGTGGCGCGCAGAAGGGACGTATGGTTTTCTCTTGCAGATCTTACGCTTGCCACGTGCAACTTTGTTCAGCATGACTGGTCCCATGAAGCAGTTGATCGCCGCAATGTGTTTCGCAAGTGTATGCCCCTCCAATGGAGGTAATACCATCAGTGGTACTCACTTCGGCTGCGCTTCAGGGCCGTTTAGCCTCGAACGTATTGCTTTCTATTCGTTCGCCGTGACCCAATCCCAAAGATGGACGGTTATAGCTATGTCCACACGCCCCTTTCCGCGTCGGAAACGCGCGTTGCAACATCTGACAGGTGTTATTTCTCCTTAGATGTCAGAGCAGCGACGGGCGCTGATGAAGCGGTGAAGACAGCAGCGAAGGCGCGAATTCTTTTTCTTCCGTGCGTCAGGGGATGGCATCGGAAGCGATGACTTATTCAACTTCGGCTCGGTGGATTGATCTTCGGAGACCTCGGCAGGTGATGGATATGGACATCTTCGGACTTGGGAGGGCCAGATCTACTCCAGATTTCGTAATAAAGGGAGGGGCTCTCATTTCGGGGGGGGGTCTCTTCCAGGCTATCTTGGAGGGCCTGGGGGGGTCTGGGGACGATGCTCTGGAGGGTTCTTCCACACGGGGGCGGTCCGAAATGGCCTGTCTTGGAGGGTCCAGACCCCCTCCCTTTTACTACGAAATCTGGAGTACCTTGGGACTTGGGAGGGCCGGATCTGCCCATGTCCACCGCCTGGCGAGGGCCCCGGAGGCCGATCCCCGGGCGGCGGCTATGGATAGATTCCCAGCTCCCCTGCAGGAGCAGCACCAGGTGCGGACGGCTCCTGTGCGGAGCGCCGAGGAGAGGGAGCTCGTGGAGAGGGGGGGAGGGTGCGGAGGAGGGGAGGGGCCGCACGGGGGGGGAGCGGGCGGGGGCAGGGGAGGACATCGGAGGCGAAGGGGTGCTGCTGGGGAAGCGTTTCAACGCTAGACGCCTTCGTTTCATTTTCGGCGGGCTGGTGGTGGATCCGGGGCATGCGGACTTCCAGTCAAGCGGCTGCGTGATGGTGGAGCGATGCGCGGGGTGTGTTGGGGGGGGGGGGGGAAACGAAAAAAACAAAACATCGGAGGCGAAAGGGGGGCAGGAGCGGAGTGGAGGGTCCAGAGGAGGGGCTCGGAGGAGCAGGTCACCATAAAAGGCCAGCCTCCCGTCGCGGTCGCCCTCCGCGGCCTCCTCGCACGGCGCGGCCGGACTCGCTCCGAGATTCCGGTCGGAGCGCACCCCCCTGGGAGGGAGGGAGGGGAGGGTCTCGAGAGGGAATCGGGGGGGGGGGGGAAGCGCCCAGCGGCCTGCGCAAGAAGAGAGGGACATGTTTTTTGGGGAATTTCGGCCTGCTTCGCCGAGGGGGCGGTCAGCTTGGTGCGGCACTCGCTAGCCGCTGGCAGAAACACGCGGTATCTCGCAGCAGGGGCGCCAAGGCGTAGTTGCTCCTCCCAACCTAGCCCATGCCACCCCCATACATCGTCGGAGAGCGCCCAAGGCGCATCACAACGCAGCAGGATGAGGAAGAGAGGGAAAGGGGAGGGAGGTGGGGGGGGGTGGGACGGTAAGGGGACAAAAAATGAAACCCCTTCGTCTTCGCCCCGCATTCGCCCCCCCCCCCCCCCCCTCCCCCCAATTTCAAAGTTGGGTTCGGCCTCTCGGAGGCCTTGGGGGGTCCACTTTTTTTGTCCTCTCGCGCCTGTGCTGCAAAATGCTTGAAGCCAACCTTGAAATTGGGGGGGGGGGGGGGCCGTGGTGTCAAGGGTTCCACTCTTTTGTCCATCTACGGGAGGGGGGGGGCAGAAAAGGCCCCGAGAGAAGGCGTGGCGGGGGGGGGGGGCACAGGCGAGCGGCGGGCCCAGATTCCCCACGACCCCTTTTTTTTTGGTTGCTCGGGTCGCCGTCCCCCGGGCGTCTCGAGCGACCGCCTCCTTGGGGGCCAGCTTCTCCTCCGGAGTCTTCTCTTCGACGGTTAAGTCGGGCCTGTCCCTCTACAGGGGGAATGCTCAACAATAGTCAAACAATAGTCTGGGGACTATGTTTTTTTTTTTGAATATTTTGGGGCATCTTGTGAGTCTGTTTTGAATATCTTTTATGGTTCGTCCGGAGTCCCCCTGTAGGGGGGCAGGCCCGACGCCCCCCTGGGGCCCGACGAGGGCTTCCGAGCGCCAGCAGCCGTGCGCGCTGCTCGGGCGCGTCCCTCCCGCTCGGCCCGCCAGGGTGTGTTAGGGGGCCACGTGCGAACCCTACCCCTACCCCCCACGATTTCTGAGGGGGAGGGTTCACCACCCACCAAACCACCCCAACCCAACCCGAAGGCCCAAATTTATCCTCGATTTCCAGTGGGGGGGTCGGGGAACGTTGAAAAAACACATGGTATCCGTACCCCCCCCAACCCGAAATTCGGGTCAAATTCGGGTCTTCGGGTTGGGTTGGGGTGGTCTGGTAGGTAGTCAAGGGTGGGGTTCACTGGATCGCCCACTGCCGGCTCGCCCGTGGATTCTGGGGGTCCTGAGGAGCGGTTGTGGACGTGGCGGTTCCGGTATCGGTGTGCTTGTGAGAGGTATCGCCAAAGCGCCAGCGCAGCACCGTCCAATGAGCGACCTTCCGAGAATCGCCCACAATGTCATCACGTGACAGATTTGGTCCCTCGATTCGCGAGGGCCGTGACATGTGACATGCTCGTCCACAAGCTCGCGGCAGAGAGCGGCAGCATTTGACACCTCTTCCTAAGATCCAGGTAGGTCGTAGCATGTAGCAACTCGCTTCCTCAGTGGAGCGAATGTCGCGACAAGCAGGCGAGGGAGAAGGACGAGAAGACGAGGGAGAGATATTGGGGAGGGCAGATTTTGCAATGACTCTGGGGTCGTCTTGGGGCCCTCCTGGGGCTGTCTGAGGGCGTTTTCGCGGCCTTTCGGGGTCTTCTAGTGACGTTTTGTCTCCTTTGGGGGCCTTCCTGGGCTGTCTTGGGGATGTGTTGGTCAAGCAGTGGCGAAGCGTCCTGGCTCGCCTATAGGGGCTTCAAACAATTCTCTAAGAACCTTTTGTGGTTCCCACGAAATGTTCTTTGAATATTTCTGGCTGGGTCTGTCTTGTTTTTAACACATCGGGTTTATGTTCTAAGAGCATTGTTTTTGTTCTTAAAACATTTGTGGGTTCTAAGAACCTGTCGTGGTAGGCCTATAGGAATGCCAGGACGGTCGGTCCCTGCTCAAGTTGGGCCACCCTGGAGCCGTCTTGAGACCCCCTTGGGCACTCCAGAGGCAATTTTTGGACGGAACATTTGGGCAACAACAAACGTTGAACCATGCAGTTCGCCTCGATTTGCTTTAAGACTTGCGCTGTCTAGGCCACCTCTAGGAGATTCATGGAGGCCCTCTTGGGACGCTTTGTGGTCGTCGTGGGGCCTACTTGGGCTGTCTTTGGTCCGCAGGCCATCTCGCGCCTTGTTGGGTCCGCCTCGGGAACTTTTTAGACCATCTTGGAGACTTCTTGGGCCAGTCTGGGGCTGCCTTGAGGCCCTCTTGGGCACTTCAGATGTTATTTCAGGTTGATCTGTATCGGAAGCAAGCTGCGCTAGGATCTTAGGCGTTTGTGCCCTCTTAGTAGACTTCTTGGCTCCTCTTTTGGGGCGCTCTGGGGGCCTCTCGGGCCTTCTTCGAGGTCTCTTAGGCAAATGCGGGTCCTGCTTGGGCCGTCTCGGACTCCATATTCGTCAGAGGCTCTGGAGACCGACGTGGAGGCGTCGAGCCACCCAGAAAGCGTCGTGAGGGGGGCCTGGCGCACGCGGGAGATGCTGCGAGGGGTGGGAGAGCACTGGAAACTACAAAAGCCTTCTGTTGCACACAACACGGCTCTCGGCATGATGCCACACTCCCTCGTGACAGGAGGCGCGGTGGCGGATGTACTGGCCATTCGGGCCCAGGGGGGCACATGATGGTGGACGTCAAAAACCATGGACGTTTCTGATGATGTGAGGGGGAAGGATGCGATGACAGAGCCCACAATTTACTGGTTGTGAGTTTGAGCCTGTCGTGGTTGTGGGCGATGTGCAGGAGCTTTTTTGGCGCCCGACAGCCGAAGAGCCCCCACATCCGGGCAAGTAGTAGGGCCAGTGTCATAATAACACAGGCTGAGTTTGCCCACTGCAGGTCGGCTATTGAAGCTTTCCCTCCTTGCTTGGCGCAACCTGATATCGCTCTCTGCTGCCTGCCGCGAAGTGGGGATACGTTGTGGCCGCGTTCTCCTCCTCCTCCTCCTCCTCCTCCTCCTCCCCTCCTCCTCCTCCTCCTCCTCCTCCTCCTCCTCCTCCTCCTCCTCCTCCTCATTCTCCTCAACAAAAACAGGAAAGTGGGGCCAGTGTTACGGGCTACAGTCGGCCCGGATTAGTAGGTCGACCCTGCCAGCTCAAGGGTACCCTTGTGTTCTGTGCCTCGCGACACGTGCCTTCTTACACTCCTATGGCGATGTGGCACTCGGAAGGGTCTTGTGTCCTCTCGCGTGTCCTGTCCAGTCAAGGTCGACTGTATTCAGGTTAGGACCCGCGGGCCCCCGCTCCTGGGCAGGCCGCGGGGGGCAAGTAGGGGCTTACAGGCGAGCCCTACCCCTGCCCCCCACGATTTCTGAGGGGGAGGGTGGGGTTCACTTCGCTCTGGAGCCCCCGAGCGAAGTGAACCCCGCCCTCCCCCTCAGGAATCGTGGGGGGCAGGGGTGGGGCTCGCCTGTAAGCCCCCCTGGCAAGCTCCGTGGCGGGGGCTGGCCGGACGCTCTCTCTCCTCTCCCTGGGAGAGCGGAGGCCCCCGGGCGCCGGCCGGCCAGCGTCGGGGACTCGCCGCCGCGGGTCGCGGCAACCGCCCGCCCCCCCCCTCCCAAATTAAGTGTCGGGGGTGGACAGACCTCCTACCCTGACACGCCTTCATTTCTGTCTTCGCCTTCATTTCCTTTCCATCGCATCGTTATCATTCGCCACCGTCTTCATGGTCGTCGTGGGCCCCCCTCATCATTCGGGGCTGGACAGACCTCCTACCCTGACACGTCGATTAAGGAACTGGCCGTTTTCGGTTCGCGAGAGGGCGTCGCGGCCGTCATCTGTTGCGGGTCCAGGTTCGTCGGCTTCGGGCCCAGGCCGCTTTCACTGAGGGGAGGTCTACTAAAGGGAGGTTGGTCCACCGCCGAAAGTGGCGGCTATTGCCAGTGGCCAGCCTTTGCAGGCCGAGAGGTTGACACCAGCACCAACATCGGCGGGGTTCCTCCACCGAGGGAAGAGGATGCCGATCCCGGCGGTGGCGGTAGTATGCTGGCTTCCAAGGTGACCGAGACATTCCCACCAGCACCGAACTCTAGGATCATCGCTCCCCTGTGGAGGCAGCCCCCTGTCTTGGTGTTGGTGCCAACTTCGAGGCTTCAATAGCACGGGCGAGCCCCACTCATCAGAGTTTCCGACAAGCCGGGCCAGGAGCTAGCGGGGGGTCGTTCCACTAAGGGGGCATCTTGACAACCCACGCCCAGGGCAACCATCTAATGTCGACTGGCCTTTGGCACATCTGGCCTCCGTACCTGGGTTGTGGGTCTGAAGCCTATTGGATGATCGTTGGGATCTCGTGGGAGGCCTGTCGGGGCCTTTTGGCGGCAGTTTGGACGTCTCTTGGGGCCCGTTTTGGGACTTCTTCTGGTCTCTTTGGGGCCTCTTTGGGGCCTCTTGGACCAACTTTAGGGGCCTCTTGGGGGCCTCTTGGGGGCCTCCTGGGCGCCTCTGGGGGCCTCCTGGGGGCCTCTTGGGGCGGAAGCCCTTTTGGGGCCGTCTTGGGGCCCTCTCGGGCCGTCTTGTGCGCCTCTTGGGCCGTCTCGGGTCACCTTCTGGGCCGTTTGAGATTGTTGTTTTACAGGCTCTAGGGGAGCACGTGTCACGTGTTCCCCCCCTCCCGCCCCCCCACCTCCCCCCAGTAAAGGTAACGCTTGGGAACCGGCCGCATGCGCGAATCTTTGCAGTTTCCGTCGGACTAGGCATCCCACGAGGAGGAGGAGGAAGTGGAGGAATAGGAGGAGGAGGAGGAGGAGGAGGAGGAGGAGGAGAAGGAAGTGGAGGAGGAGGAGCAGGAGGAGAAGGAGGAAGAGAAGGAGGAGTAGGAGGAGGAAGACGACGACGACGACGACGACGACCGAGATGGCCCGGAGGCTCCCGAAGGTGCACAAGCATTGTTGTCGTTGTCGTCGTCGTCGTCGTTGTCGTCGGCAACGTCGTCGGCATCGTCGTCGTCGTCGTTGTAGTCGGCAGCGTCGTAATCGTCGTCGTCGTCGTAATCGTCATCGTCGTCGTCGTCATCGTCGTAGCGTGCCTCTTCTCGTCGTCTTCGTCTTCATTCCATTGCATGGTGTTTCACGCAAGTGCTGTGGCGTCGACAGGCGCTGTGCTGTGGTGTACACAAGCGTTCTGGTGCATGCAGGCGCTGTGGTGTACGGCCACGGTGTGGTGCACACGGCTGGTGTGATGTGCGCAGGCGCCGTGGTGTACACAAACGTTCCAGTGCACCCGGGCACTGCGGTGTGCACGCAGGTGTTGAGGTGTACAGAGGCGCTACGGTGTACACAGGCGATGTGGCGCCATGGTGCGCGCAGTTGCTAGGGTGAACAGAGGCACCGTGGTGTACACAGGCGCTGCGGTGCACGCAGGCGTTTTCGTAAACACACATATGTTGCGCCTGTGCTGCGGGCGCGCCTTCTGGGGTGCACGCCGGCGGCAGTTACCATTACCCCCCCCCCCGCTAACTCCCCTTCCCCCCTGGGTAACATTTTTACCCCTAATGGATAAAACAACGATCTCTTTGGGGCCCTCGGGGAGGCCACTTGGGCCGTCATTGGGCGGTCTTGGGGTCCCTAGGGTCGTCTGGGAGCTTTGGGAAGCCGAAAGACGGGAAAACCAAAAACCCTTTGGAACAGTGATTTTGGCCTCTTGAGGCCTTCTTGTGAGGCTTCTTGGAGGCCTCTTGGGGCGTCTTGGAAGCCTCTTGGGCCGTCTGGGGGCCATCTTGATCGTCTTGGAGCGATCGTTCGGCGACTCGGGGCCCTCTTGGGGCTCTCTTGGCCCGTCCTGGGGTCCTCTTGGCTCCGAAAAGGTCGAGCGACATGACGCGACAAGCCCCAAGAACTTTCGGGATTTGGGGTCTGGGCCCGTTTAAGCCTCTTCAGGGCTGAGGACTGAGGCTCCAGGGATTAGGGAAAGGACCTGAGGACACGCCCACTCCGTGCCCAAAGGCACGGTGGCGGATGAGCCGAAATTTCGGACGAACCAGGCCAGGGGCTAGTCGGGGCCAGCCGCAACGAACCTCTGTTGACCCCCCTCGTGACGATCCGTCGGATCCCCTTGCTGCAAGCAGGATGTGAGGTACGCAAGCGCACGTGTACGTCTACACCCCTACACCGCCTGCACCCCGGCCGCCCTCCGGCCGCCTGAGGCCCCGCCCGCTTTTGCCCTGTCTCCCCAATTAGAGCTGTGCGTAGCCCGCCTAGCTTTTACCGGAAGAGGTTCGCTCTCGCCCCGCAGACCAAAAAGAAGTATACGTCTACGTGTCTGCCCCCCCTTTCCGCTGGTTCCCTCGACGGCACGGGCTCGCGCAGCCCCGTAGGTGCACGGCTCGATCCAGGCGATTTTTCTCACGCGCAGGCCGTTCGGTGAAGTGGGTGCAGTCGACCCGCATAGTAAGGACGGACACTTTTCCTAAGGGTACCCGTGTATCCTTATCTCCTCGGTCCGTCCGCGCCCCGCTCGAAAAGCTTCGAAATGGCCTTTCAAGGCCCTTGCATCCTTATCGTGCATCCTTATGATACGAGTCGACTGTCTGCTTTTGTGGGTTTCCAGATTCCAGCCTGGTTTCAGCGCCCCCCCTATTTCAAGGGCCCGCGATCTCTGGGCGGGCCGCAGCCCAGCCTGCTCTGACCGCCATCCTAGTGCCAACTCCTTCCGAATGTCTGGCAGCCCCCCCGCGTGCGAGCCACACTCTCCCCACCCCCCGAGCTCGAGAGCCAGCCCCAGCCCGAGCGTCACGCTGCCAGTACACCGATATGGGTGCCCTCGAGCTCAGTCACGCTGCGGTGTGGTGATATGCAGTCATTGAGGTTGGGGTCGCGCACTCATCATCGTTGGGATGATTATTTGGTCAAAAAATCGGAGCTCTGCTGCTTCCTCGCGTTTCGATACTACTCTGGTCGAACAGTGATGTGATGCCTCCTGGGGCGACGGGTTCTACAGCCGGCCCGGATTAGGAGGTCGATCCTGCCAAATCAAGGATACCCTTGTGTCCTGTGCCTCGCGACCCGTGCCTCCTGCATTCCTGTGGCACTGTGGCTCTCGGAAAGGTCTTGTGTCCTCTCGCGTGTCCATCGCTCGGACGTCCATTCCCTGTGCTTTTTTCGGCTTCGTGCGTGGTCTTTTCGCCAAATGATCGAGGATGCTCCTCGATGGTCCTCGCCGAAAGGAAAGTGCATACGTCCGAGCGATGCCAAGCTCGCGTGTCCTGTCCAAGGAAGTCCGCCTGTACACAGATCCACTGGCCCGGGCCTGGCTGGTTCTTGGCCCGGAGGAGCGGCGCGTATGCCTTTCTCGGTCGGAGCCGCGGCGGCCCGCGGCCAGGCCGCGGCGGGCTGCGGCCTGCTGCGCAGCGCCCTCGGCTGGCCCCCCGGGCGCCCTGCCGACGGGGGCCGCCACGCCCCCGACGCGGGCTCGGCGAGCGCGCGGGCCTGGAGCGCCCGGGGCGTGGCCAGGGCGGCGGCACGGGGCGGTCGGGCGGGCGGCTCCGCGCCTGCAGCCGTGGTGGCGGTGCTGATGCTGCTGATGATGCTGACGCTGACGCTGACGCTGACGGTGCTTGTGATGATGATGCTGATGCTGATGGTGATGATGATGCCCATGATGGTGATGATGATGATGGTGGTGATGATGATGATACCCATGATGGTGATGATGATGATGGTGGTGATGATGATGATACCCATGATGATGATGATGCTGCTGCTGCTGATGATGATGATGATGATGATGATGATGATGATGATGATGATGATGATGATGATGATCGTGATGGTGATGGTGATGATGACGATGATGCTGATGCTGGTGATGATGATGATGAGGATGCTGGTGATGAAGATGACTAAGCTGATCATGGTTATGGTGATGATACTGATGATGCTGCGGATGAGGATGAGGATGTCGATGGTGCTACTGATGATGCTGAGTTGATGATGCTGCTGATGATGATGCTGATGCTGATACTGCTGCTACTGGTTATGATGCTATTGATGCTGATGATGGTGATGATGGTGATGATGAGGACGATGATGAAGATTACGATACTTGTGGTTGTGATGCTGATGATGATGAAGATGTTGATGGGGATGCTGATGATGCTGATGATGATCATGTCGCTGCTGATGATGATGCTGGCAATACTGATCATGACGCTCCTGATCATGCTGCTGATGATGATCATTATGATGATGATAATGATGCCGAAGCTGATGGTGATGATGATGATGATGATGATGGTGGTGGTGGCGGTGGCTGTGATGATGAGGCAGCTGCTGATTATGATAATGATGTTGATGCTGATCCCTCTGATGATGATGCTAATGGTGCTGATGCTGCTGATGATAACAATGATGAAGGTGAGGATGGTGATGATGAGCAGGAGGATGAATACGTTGGTGCTTGTGATGCTGCTGAAGCTGCTGCTGATGATGAGGACGCATAAGCTGATCTTGGTGATATCGATAATGGAGTTGCTGCTGAGGATGGTGATGTTGCTGCTGCTGATGAAAAAACTGCCGATGATGACGATGATGCTGATGCTGGTGATGATGATGATGCTGCTGCTATTCATAATGATGATGCTGATGATGATGATGGTACCACTGATGACGCTGATGCTGGTAATGATGATGGTGATGCTGCGGATGATGGTGCTCGTGATGGTGATGTTGCTGATGCTGCTGGTGATGACGAGGAAGGTGATGATCGTGACGATGAGCAGGATGATGATGATGATGATGATGATGATGATGATGATGATGATGATGATGATGATGATGATGATGATGATGATGATGATGATGATGATGATGCAAACCCGAAATTCGGGTCTTCAGGTTGGGTTGGGGTGGTCTGATAGGTAGTCAGACATGTTTCCGCGGTCAAGTGTCCGGTGGGGGAGGGAACGCTTCATAAGAAGGAGCAGTGACATCCCTGTCCCCGATCGGGAAGAGAAAGGGTGGATGGAAGAGGAAACGTTCTAAACCACCCGAGCCCAGTGTAGGAGGAGGATGAGAATGAGAAAGGAAACAGGAGGAGGATGAGGGGGAGGAGGATGAGGCGGACGGGGGAAGCGGAGGAGGAGGAGAACGGGGCAGGAGGAGGAGGAGGAGGAGGAGGAGGAGGAGTTATCATTATTACGCATGTTGCGCGACGCAGGTGCAAGCCTGGCCGCAGATCAATCACATTCAGGGCAGGAAGGACGAGCGACAAAAGTCGGTGCACAGCGCGTATTGGTAGGGCCATGCCGGAACGCACTGTGCGCACGCGGGCACGCCGCATTAAAGTTCAGGAAACTTCACACCAGACTTGGGAGGCAGACCACAACTCATATGATCGTTTTCTTATTCATTGTTTTGCCTATCGGCGCGGCCCCCCCCCCCCCCCCCCATGGAGTAGATCTTGGCTGTTTTTTGGCGCCTGTCTCGAGCGGGTAGAGTCTCCCCGAGAGGCCGCACTCTTGCAAACACTCGCACTAAGTAGAGGTCTGGAGTCAGACTCCCCCCCTCCCCCTCCCCTTGCCGCCCAATGTCGAAACGCCGAACAAGAAAACGTTCACCGTGCGGGATATGACATCTTTGCCCGATTTCGTCGGGGGCTTGCGCTGCACCAAGAGCTTGTGGGCGTGCTCAGCACATATGCCACAACAATATGCCTCTGACGACCTGCAACGTGTGGGACGGGTGGCAGTCAGCAGCCCTCGGATGCCCCACAACACCCCCGACAGCCAAGGGTGGGTCCACCCTATTCGGATAGCGGTCGTCGTGAAGGAGGCGCGTGAATGGACCAGAGTCTCCACGAGGGCGGCAATCACAGGGCCAGAAGTCTGCGAGCAATCTTTTCCTGGAAACAGACCGTGCACAACGGGTATTCCAAATCCCTTATCAATCGTCCCCCGGGTCCGGTTTTTTAAGGCGCTTTTTTGGTCATTCAGGGGGTCTGGTTTATTAGGTCGCTTTCTTTGGATTGGAGCTGAGGGGGTCTGGTTTATTAAGGCGCCCCATCGAAGAGGGGGTCCGGAATATCAGGTCGCATCTGGAGGGGGGTCTGGTTTTTTAGGGGGGGGTCGATTAATAAGGGATTTGGAGTACACCAAATCACCGAGGGTTGGGATCGTGCCCACAGGCACGGAGGCGAGCACAACGACTGTCGACAGAGCAACGGTTCCCCTCCCGCCCCCTCACGGGCAGGCCGGCTCGGGCGTCCGGCGCCCTTGCGGTCGGGAGTGAAAAAGCGCCTCCCTCTGAATGGCATGGAGGCGCCGCACCACCGGGGGCGCAAGGTGATCGGCAGCTGGCGCGAGTCTATCCTGACGGGGCGGGGGTGGCATGAGCGGCAGCACCCTTGGAGGCAAACCAATCGGCAGCAGCATGTAGATACAGCTCCCCAGGTCTCAAGCCCAGGCTCTCGATCCGATGCTGGGTGGGGTGAGCTCTGGTCCAGAGCGGCGTGACCGTGCCTGGCCTATGGGAGAGCTCAGCATGCACGAGGGCCCAGAGGTCAAGCAGGGACGATGTTTTCCAAACCACGCGGCGTCTTGCGGAAACCTCTGCACACGATCCGTCCATCGGAATACACCGTGACGTCTCCTTCCGTCACTCGGGAGCAGCTGCAACCAGCGCACAGAGCCCGGCACGTGGAGAACTCTGCTTGGCGGTGGGGAGGGTGCCGAAGGCGAGGGAGTACGGGCAGTGCCAGAACCTTTGGAGCGGGGTCTCCTTAGCTGATCCACACCGGGGACAAAGACCATTGGTACTAGATCAACTAATCGGGACTCCGTCCAATACGCACCTGAGGCGAGATTGCGAATCATACTGGCAGACTCCGCCTCACCATCCCTGGATATTCCCTTGAGGATACCCTGGATGACAGAGAAATCAATCCCCTCCTGGGAGCCTTCGCCCAGGGAGTGGTCAGCAGCCCTTTCCCGAGAGAGCTTCTGGCAACAATCAAAAAGAGCGCCCCAACAAGCATGCGGAAAACCAGGGTCCGTGATGCGAAGCTTTATTAATATTTTGGTAATGTTTTGACCTCTACGGGCCCGCCGCACAGTCCCAAGCTGGCAGCGCGGGATGCCAGCTCTTGCCCCAACGTCGCGCTGGCGCAAAGAAGCGCGGAGCAAGCACGGCCGAAAAGCATCCGAAGCGTCCGCGGCATCCCCCTTGTCAAGGGCGCCCTCGAGGGCGCGAAGTCATTCGCGCTTCGCGCCTCGCGGTTCGGCTCCGGTTCCCCCTCATCCTCCTCTTCTCCCCTGGGAGGCGGCGCGAGAGCGCGAAGTTGTTCGCGCTTCGCGCTTCGCGCAGCGCGAAGCGCGAAGTTGGGAGCCCTTGCTTGTGCAGCGGTCGCCGCAGGAGCTCCACACTCGGTCCACCCAAAAACCGGTGAGCGCGGGGGCACCCGGGAGAGGCCGAGGAGCACCGCAGGCGTGGCCGCGGCGGGGCCCTCGACCCTGCTCCGGCGGCTGCTCGCGGGGAGATTCGAGGAGGCATCTCGGCATCGTTTGGCCAATCCCTTCGGCATGTTCGAGAAGGCATGTCGGCATTTCGAGAAGGCTGTTTGGCACTTCGGCCTCGTTTCGGCATGGTCGAGAAGGCATTTCGGCATTTCGGGCATCGTTTAGCCCATCCCCATCCCCATCCCCGTCCCCTTCGGGACCCCCACCGAAGTACCACCCCAGTAGGGGACACACCCCTCGAAACCCGAAGGGAACGACCTATGTCCCCATCTAGGGGGGCAAATCGGCCAGTGGGGCCCAGGCCACGCCGCTGGGGGTGGGGATCGGTTGAAGGATGCTCAGGCGGGCAACATCTTGCCCCACGCTCGGGCAGCACCATGTCTCCGGCGGTGGGACGGGTCATTCTAACTCTGGGCAGAAGATCACCACCCACCAAACCACCCCAACCCAACCCGAAGGCCTCAATTTGCCGTCCATTTCCAGTGGGGGGGGGTCGGGGAGCGTTGAAAAAAACATGGTACCCGTACCCCCCCCTACCCGAAATTCGGGTCAAATTCGGGTCTTCGGGTTGGGTTGGGGTGGTCTGGTAGGTAGTCAGAAGACATCAACTGCTCGTGGCGAAGCCTGAACTGGCGACCCTCCCGCGGCGCAGACACCAACGAGAGCACGGTCGTCGTGCAGGCTCCCGGAGGCCACCGGCCAGAGCAAACTTGGGCGCCGCGTAATGGGGGGGTCGTAAATGGGGGGGTGGCGAGGGTGGTTCGAAAAGGTACCCAAACGGTACCTAAACGAGCCCCCTGGGGCTCTGGAGGGGCCCGAAAGGGGCACGAAAGGGGACCTTTTCTGACCCCCCCATCTATGACCCCCCCATTAAGCCACGCCCAACAAACGCGCAGCCTGGGCACGTATTAGACTGCACGTGGGCAGGCGACACTCCGAGGGCCTGGTGCCCCCACGATCCGACAGCGAGGGCCCCAG